AGTTAGTCACAGCGATGTCGAAGCTTTGTATCCAGGCCCACGCCTGGGCACATATTCTCCTTGTTCCCAATCCTAAGAAGACCCATGCTACACCTGTAATAAACAGGTGCAGAAGCACTATGCCCATCCCCAGACTGGTGTTTGTCTCAAGATGCCACTAAGCCCTATTTCTTAGGTTTCTCAGTCTCTGGCTAATATATCCCCTACCCTGATGTGGTCACAGGTACTTTCTCAGGAGCAAAAGGAAAATCCCTTCTTTAAACCCAAAGACTTCTTGGCCAGCTGTGGCAGGGATGGAGTGGGGTGGGTGGGGCTGTCTACGGGTGCAGGGGCTTCTAGTGCCTTCTTCCTGGAGTCACAGAACCGCAAGAGCTTGGTAGATGACTCTGTTTAACCTGCTCATTAAGCCAATTGGAAAATCAAGGGCCGAACATGTGAAGTGGGTCCCCCAAGGCCACACGATTAGTTCTGCCCTCTCACGAGGAAGACAAGCTGCATGATCTGCCTGGGCCCTTGGGTAGGATAGAGTTCTTCCGCTCCTCCAGACAGCCTCCTGACCTTCTGGAGGATGGGAGGGGGTGGTGTTGGCTTTCCACCCTCTTGAGCCTAACTGGAAGATGAGAGGAGCACATGACATCCTCTCCAGACAGAGTGCTCTTCTCTCCCTCTCTTCCCAAGACTTGAAACCCTGTTGGGTGTTCAAGAGTCCCTCACCATGGTGACACCGCTCTGGGAGATGCCACCCTGCTTCAATGTGAGAGAGGATTCAAAACCAGGGTGGAGGAGGAGGTTATGGAATCCATTCTGACCCAGTTTGGGGCTCTTCTCACACAGCCACACGTATCCACAAACACCTGTGCAGTTCATTCCCACACTTGCATTCATTTAGATGTGGGCCAGGGGTGACTATCAGGAAGCACCTTTGTGGCTAAAACTTGCAACTGACCTCCTTGGTGATCATAAAAACACAAGAATCCTGAGTAGCCAGCAGGCAATATTTCCCTGGGCCGGAGCCCAGGATCATGGTGAAGCCCTGGCATCTAGGAAGTGCTTAGATCTGCAGTGAATGAGTGAGTTAGTGAACACGCGTCAGTGTCTTTCTCATGGAGAGTGAGGCATGGTGTGGGCTAGCCCGGGAAATGATGAGCCATCTGGTAGTTTTTCAGTGGGGCTGGAGAGTATTGCCTGAAATGGGTGCCCTCAGGCCTCCAACAAAATGCCTTCATGATTATGCATTCATTTCAGTCTCCTTGCCTCAAAGGGAAGCGCAGGGAGGCTCTGTGATGTACCTGGCATCACGTGCCCATCTAGGGCCAGAGCCAGAACCCGAACCCAGGCCTTCCGACTCCCACATCAGAGCTCTCCATCCACCCTGCACTCCTGCCTCGCCTGAGTGGAGAGCTGCCGTTGGAGTGTCACTAGGCCAGAGGGTGGGGAGCAGGCTGGGGGCAGGCTGCCGCAGACACAGAGGGCTTTGGCCTACCTTCCTAGGAGGTGCTGCCCCTGCCCAGGGCATCCTGAGACCCATAGGACACATGCCAGACTAGACTCTTCCTTCCCATTTTCACTAAAGGTGAGCCCTAGAGTTCCCTGAAAAGCAGGGTAATTAGACAACCTGGTTCAAATTCCACCTGTGCCACTTACGAGCTATTTGACCCTTGGGTAATTACTTAACTTCTCTGTGCCTCCATTTCTTCAACCACAAAATGAGTGAGCTATAAAGTAATCATAACCAGGGGCAACACATATCAAGTGCTTCCTGCAAGGAATGGCGAATACAAGCACTCACTGCCATCAATGGTTCAACATACATTAACCGTGTATCTCCTCGGTACCAAGCACAGTGCTAGACACACATAAACATCATTAAAATGTAATGGAAGTAGCGTACAAAGCAGAGAAGAGCCAGGAAGAAAAAGAACAGTCAGTGCTGCCTAGCCAGGTTCTTGGAGCTGCCAGAAGAATGCTGTGTAATGGGCCTGTCTCCTCTCAACTGTCCTCCTTTATCTCTGAGGCCCTGGATGCTTTGTTCCACAGACCTGCAGTAAAATCCCACCTGGTTCTGTAGGGAGCGGATCCGGAGACCGTAGCACTGGAGACTAGGGCCTGAGAAGCCCAAGCCTGCCCAGGGTAGGGCACAGCTGGATCACAACCTCCCGCTGTCCTCTGACATGACATTCCCTCCTGCCGGGCATTAGGAGAGATCTGCCCCGGCACAGGATGTGAGAGCCCTGTACCCTCTGTGGGGGAGGATTACTCCACGGGTAAATCCTGCCTCCACCTAATCCTAGTGCTCAGAGAAAGAACGCTAAGCTGAACTCCCCGCTAACCAGCTCAGACCAATTCCACCTTGGAACAAATGCCCAAGCTGTCCTCCTCTTCTTCGTTCTCCTGATCCCTAAACATGATTCCCTCAATCTTCCCCCTCAATTTGGTCAACACCACTTAATGAGACATGCCCCCCCCAACCCATACTATCGACTCCTCCATCCTATTCCCTAAGACTGTTCCATTCTCCTGCTTGCCTACCTCCCAACAAGGCAAACTGGGGATGCCATGCAATTTTGTGACTATGAACAAGGTTCTAGCTCAACTTGACAATACCATAAAGGTTCAAAAGAAGAAACTCCGATCTCTCCTTATAGGAGCCAATGAGCTTATTTTCAAGAAAGCTAGCCTGATAAAATGTATATAAAGCCTGCTGCTACTAGGCCCAACCAGAGGGCCTTCAGCCCTTAGACTGGGAAGTGGGGCCTCTGCTAACAGGGGAGAGATGAGAAATGTCTGTAGTGCTGGCCGAGCCCCTATGTACAGTCTGTGCACTGCACAATTCCAGGGGGCGCCGTTCACAAGGTGGCATCCCTAAAGTTATGCAATGCAGTGGCTCTCAGCTAGCAGCTTCCTGCCTTTCTGCAAAAGCTGCCAACGGATCCCCAGAGCCAGACCCTTCTGCACAGCCTTCCTTGACCCTGTCCTGCAGACGTAAATGGGGTTTTAGAGGAAATCTGCCCTATATAAAAGCCCGAGGCCACCCAAATCAATACATGAATCCTATGGGGGACAGGTCCTGCCTTTCTTTTGATGAGCTTGGGAGGAAGGGGGAAGTTGTTGGCACCAATACAGGAGGACAGGTGGGCAGCCCTGTGCCAGGGGTCACACAGCCAATCATTTATCCTCACCCACAGAGTTGGCTATTGGAAGCAGGTGGAGGAAGGAAGGTGGGGAGGCATCTTTTATTTTTAAACCTTTACTGTTCTGATTAAGTATTTCTTTTCCCTTTGACCTTCACCAGTCCCATTCGGAAAGTCAAACAGCCAGTGAGTCTGAGGGAGACCTGGACCAGTGACACATGGATTCTGGAAGGGCCAGCCTGCCACCCCCTCCCCGCTGCTGGGGCCAGCCTGCCTCGCAGGCAGCCACAGGAGACTACAGCTAATCTGTGCTGGGCCTGCCCGGCCTCGGAAAAGGCCTGGCTGGAGCTCCACTCTGCCTTGACTAGACCAGCCATGGGTGGGGCAAATCTCCCACTCTGGGGCCCAGGCCACCCTCCGGAGGACCTGGCAGCATGTGATTCCTTCTGATGAATTACAGCCTACCAGTCAGACTTTGGAGAGAAATAGTCACTTCTCTCATGATCAAAAGATCTGTATCTCTCTGCCTCTTCCCATCATTGGACTGGATATCATGAAGCCTGCGTGTTTTAAACACATTTGTATGGAACTTCTGGATGCACGCGATTTAGAGAGACGGGAAAGCTTGCAGTGTGCCTTGTACTAAGTGGGTGCCATGAGGGCATGTGGGGAATGAGGAGCAAGAACTGGGACTGTAGAAGAGGGATTCTGGGAACAGGCATCAGAGAGCACTAGGTCGCTGGGACTAGCAACTGTCTCATCGTCCACGTCACCGCCACCCCCTACTCCCTTCTCTGGGTCCCAGCCACGCCCTCTGCCCTCCACTCCTCACTCCCACTTCCCCGGCCGGGAACACCACCTCCGGTTTTCACTCAGATCTACAGGTGCCCGTAAACAAAGTGCTGCAGCGACGCCGCCACCTCTTCCGCAGCCACCTCCCCACCCCCCACCCCGCAAAGTTCCTCCCAAGGTTAAGCCAGTTTGGGCAGCGATCTGAAAAGGTGCCCCCCGTCCCCCGCCCCCCACCCCGGCCCATCTTCTGGGATTTACCTTTTGCTTTTCAAGCACATGGGTCTACAGAGTCTTTTCTCTGGATCGGAAACGCTCCCCCAGCTCTGGGTTGGGCTCCCCCATGAAAGGCTGATCCAGGAAAACCAGCCTCCATTTGTGCTCACGCTGCTCTGCATGGGCACCCCAGACCTGGCTCTGGAGACCACCCGGGGTGGCCTCGGGTATTTTCACCGCCACCGCCCGCCCCCTCCCCCATTAGGAACAGGCCTTTCGTCATATCGCCTTAGGATTGCTGGGACCCTCCCCGCCCCCCAAACTCAAAGCCCCAGCCGTGGGCCCAGTCCCCTTCTGTGCCCCCTCCCCCAAAGCCCAAGATAGGAGCAGAGGGCTCTCGCGCAAGACGATGCTCTCTTCCCCGCCAGCCCCACCCAGACCTGCCCCTTCTGCAGTGCCCCATAATGGGAGCCTGCAGCATCCGCTCAGCTAGGTGCACGCCTAGGGGCGACCCACCAAAAGAAAGGGGGGCGAGGGGAGCAAGTCCAAAGTCCAGCCGCAGCCAGGACCTCCGCCCCTCCGCCCTGCACCCCCCAACCCCGGCATCCCGCATCCCTCTCAGCACCCGGCTGGGGTAGGGAACCCTGTCGCGAACCAGGGGGACCCAGGGAGGGGGCGCCGGGCCGCGAGGGCGACGACTGTCCGGTGGGCGCAAGTTGTTTACTCGCGGTGCAGTTAGCTGGCTGGGCTGCGGGGCCTCTGGCTGCGACGCGCCCCCACCCCTGCCCGCGCGGGGTCCGGCCCCGAAGCGCCCTCCCCGGCCCGTGGCCCTAGCCCCGGGCCCTAGAGGCCCCGCAGACTCACGTCTCGGAAGCGATTCCAGTCCTTGATCTTGCCGCTGTACTGAGAGATGGACGACAGCCATTGCTCGTCCTCCATGAAATTGCCGGGGGTCTCGCCCTCCTTGATCCCTTTGGCGTCGCTCTCAGCCAAGGCCGCCGCCACGAGGAGCAGCAGCAGCGGCAGCGCCAGGCGCCCGCAGCCCGGGGCACGCATCGCGGTCTGGGCTCGACCTGGGGGGTCCTGACTTCGGCAGTATTTTAGTGCCTTTTCTCCCACCCCACGGTAGTCGGAGCAAACGCTGTCGTCTTCCTCAGCCCTTCTCCTGCGTGGTCTGACTCGGGCGACAGTCGGATAGTGGGTCGCGGCTGAGATGTGACCTGGTTAGGAGATGCACTTGTCTGAAAAAGCCCAGCGCTGGACGCGGAGAGGAAGAGAGAATCAGAGAGGCTGCGCCAGCAGGGGCCGTGTCTGTAACTGTAGCATCAGCATCACGTTTGACATCATCATACCTGGTTAAAAAAAAAAAATGGAGGGGGTCGATTTCAAAGGGAGGCGCTCGATGCGAGCAGCCAACGCCAGGCAGCCAGCCGCGGCAGAGCCCAGCCCAGCCCAGCGCTCAGGGAGTTGCAAACCTAGGAATCCGAACCGGAGGCGTCCCTGCTGTCTCCCCAAGGGTGGAGAGCAAGGAGAGGGGCCCCAGGGGTCTCCCCAGGGAAGATGGCAGGGGGAGAAGACACAAAACTCTCCGGTTACGGAGCCCGCCAGGCTCAGGTGTCTCAAAGGGGATTTGGCCACGGACTCTCTCCTCCCCCCTTGCTCCCCACCCAGGGGCCTGCGCCCCAGCCCTGACAGCGGGCTTCCTGCGAGTTATGGCTCCACAGTAATGGGTGGCTTCGTGAAGACAAAAGCCATATAACAGCTGGCTGCCTCAGAACCACTACTGCTCTGCAGCCCCGCATGCTCTTTTCAAGGCGAGGCCTGGGCACTGAATGGCTGGTAAAACAGAGGCAGATGTCGTCCTCCCCAGGCAGCTGTTTGAGGGCTGTCACCCCTTTTGTCAGCTCTTCCTTGGGCAACCCTAAAAGGCAAGCGTCTGACCATTCATCTGCCCCGAGGCCGCAAATTTCGAAAAGGCACATTTGCTCCTGGTTTTGACTTCAAGTTGAGGAAGGGGGAGCAGTGAAGGGGGAACTGGTTTTGTTTGAAGAGTTTACGTTTTTGTGAAAATTGTGGCCCTTATCTTGCCTCTAGAAATGTGTTGACATACCAGCTGGGAAGACTGGGCACAGTCCCAGTATCAAAGCTGAAATGAGGTGAGGTTTACATTATAAATAAATTGAAGAGGAAATGTAATCTGACAGGACAAAACACTGAACTTTTGGGACCCAAGCCCTAGATTGTGTTTTTATTAAAAAAACAAAACAAAAAAAAAAAACAGACACACAAAACCTTGGCTGCTGTGATCTTTAAAAAAAAAAAAAAAAAAATCAAAGGCAATGAAAAAACATGATCTTAATCAGTAGGAAAAAACAGTTTATAAGGTTGACAGTCACCCTGAGTCTGGCCTGGGAATTCTGAATGCACTGACAGCTTGGGCTGGGGTTCCCTTGGGAAAACAAAACAAAAGCTCCCCTTCCACGTTTTCTTTGTCCTTTCAGTTGGACTTAGAGGTGGTGCTGTAATGAGGACATGGCCACTGATGTCTTCATCTCACAGTAAAAAAGTAGCTTTGCTGAGTTGTATAGCAGCACTGTACAAAGGAAGAACACAATTTGTTGTCATTCAGACTGGTGTAGAATCTCACTTACTATCTGGGTTCTGGGTCAGTCATCACACCTATTTTCTGTCCACTAGTCAGAGATCAACTAGTTAAGTTAAAATACATATAAACAATGGACTATTGTGCAGACATTAAAAATGATGTAGTTATGTTACCTAATGACAGCTAATATGATCCACTACATATTGCTGTGAGAAAAGTTCATTATAGAAGATCATGTATAATATCATCCCTTAGGACTATAGTATAGTACAGTAGTTCTCAAATTTTATGGTCTCAGGAGTCCTGTACGCTCAGAAATTATTGAGGACCCTAAAGAACTTTTGTTTATGTGATACAAGGGGGAAGTCCCCAAAACCAGAATTTATTTTTAAAAAAATGTGCGTTTATTCTTACATGTTTAAACTTCAGTCACCTTCAAAATACTCTCCGTTTAATGCAAAACACCTATCGAGACGTTTCTTCCACTGCTCAAAACAGTTTTGGAACTCGTCCATTTTTATGCCTTCTAGTGCTTCTGCAGTTTTTTGTTTCACCTCTTCCACATTGGCAAAATGTCTCCCTTTGAGGGCTTTTTTCATCCAGAGAAACAAAAAAAGGTTGCTGGAGGTGAGATCAGGTGAATAGGGAGGGTGGAGCACGGGGGTCATGCTATTTTTGGTCAAAAACCGCTGACCACTCAGCGCAGTGTGGGCAGATGTGCTCAAAAATCACTCATCATGAAATGGGCAAACATGTTGAGTCCAGAAAAGATCACTGAAGCCAAACACAGCCTCTCACAACAATGCCAGCTGGTACACCGATACAGATGGGTTCCTAGGGCACTCACTTAGCGTGCCCTCCAGAGGATGCCACCAGGGTTTTTTTGGGCCCCCCTCATATAGCTTTGGCTCTATTTTATTATATATGAAGATAAAACTAAGCCTTCCTCTTAATTTTGCTGCAAACCTAAAACCACTCTAAAAAATATTAAATCTTTTTTAAAAACTAAGAAATCTAAAAAACATTTAAAAATAACAATGAACCCATATTAACAAAATAATGTATTTTATGAAAAACAACTATATATTCCCCTAAAAAGTAAGTGAGAAGAGTGGTATTGTTTTACATTTTTGCAAATCTTCCTAATGTCCTGCTCAAAAGACCACAGGTAAATTAGCTTCTGCATTATAGCAAGTGTATTATTGCTAGGGCTGCCACAAAATACCGTAAGCTGGATGGCTTACACAACGGAGATTTTTCTCAAAGTTATGGAGGCCAGAAGTCCAAGATTAAGGTGTTGATAGGTTTGTTTGTTTTTTTACTGAAGTCTCTCTTCCTAGTTTGCAGATGGTCACCTTCTCACTGTGTCACATTGGCCTTTCTTCTGTCCCTGCATAGAGCTGGTGTCTGTCTACCAAATTTTCTCCTCTTTTAAGGACACCAAATTGGGTGAGAGTCCATCCACTTTAACAGCCTCAGCCTCATTTTAACTTAATTACCTCTTTAAAAGCCTTATCTCCAAATATAGTCACATTATGAGGCAACTGGGAGTGAGGGCTTCAACATGTGAATTCTCAGGGGACACAATCCAGCCCATAATAGCAGCTAAAACTGAAACAGCTAGTAAGAACACAGGAGAAGCACTGAGATAAAACTGAATTAATCTCTAAAAACATGTTTATATCCTCTATTTCCAACTTACAAAATTTTAGAAAACACAAAAATATACAAGCACATCAGGGTGATGATGTCACTACGTCATGTAGCCTCTGGAAAACTCCACTGTACACCCAAGAGAGGCTGAGAGTGAAAGAGGCCAATAATACCTTACTAGTTTTAGGAAAATAATGTGGACCCCACACAAACGCCTAGAATGTTCCAAGGGACTCCCAGGTGTTCATAGACCACATTTAAAGAACCACTAGTACACGTTGTATGACCTCTGGCAAATTGCTTAACTTTGTTAAGCCCCAGTTTGTAAAATGAGGATAATGATAATACCAACTGAAGTGGGCTACTGTGAAGATTAAATGAATTAATACACAAATAAATAGTAAATGAGAGCATTCAGCTAATATAGCTGTTCTTTGTGAAAAATTGCTTAACAATGTATGTTCTCAAATGCATAGGGAATAGTAACCTCTGAATGATGAAATTTATTTTTTAACAAATACTTAAAGTATAACATATACATTGAAAAAAGGATACAGTGTATATAGCTTGATGAGTTTGTACAAAGTGAATGTATTTTACTTGTTTAAAAGAACATTTTATTTTTTTTAAAAAGTGATTAATAAAAACCACAACAGCAGCCCTTCTCTCATCTATGGCATCCCTGGGCTTGGATACTCGTATCCAAGGCATCAGGTAGGACATAAGAGGTATTTCTCAACTCAATGTGCCTCTGGGCCATTGGGTTCCCATCCACGGCAGGCAAAGAGCACAGTGCGAGAACAAACCTAAACAAAGCCTTGTGTCATTCTGAAGCCAGATTTTTTCATCAGTGTCCGAACTCTGGAGCTCACTTAAAAATAAATGTTAAGTCCTGACCAGTGTGGCTGTTGGTTGGATATCATACCACAAAGTGAAGGGTCACCAGTTCGATTCCCAGTTAGGGCATGCGCATGGGCTGCAAGTTCGGTCCATGATTAGGGTATGTACCAGAGGCAACCGACTGATGTTTCTCTCTCATATTAATGTTTCTCTCCCTCTCTTTCTCCCTCCCTTCCCCTCTCTCTAAAAATAAAAAAAGTAAATTTTAAAAATCTTTAAAAATAAATGTTATTAAGTAACATGTATCATGTCTTCATGATGGGTATGGAGTTCATTAGGAGGTTTACTCATTATGTCCCCTCCAAAAAAAAAAAAAAAAAAAATCAAAATTACTCTCCATAACAGATCTTGTGTAATAATTGGGGTGAGAAATTCATTTTCCCTCTTCCTCTTCCAAGAACTGAAGGTGAAGTCAGTGCCTCAAACCAGCTGTAGTGATGTTAGGTGTAATGAGATCCGATTATAAACATAGCAAATGCTCCAACATTTATCCCATTACGATTTGGTGAGAGGGGACCCTGAATACTGAGAAGTTCTTTTAGCTCCATCAAATATTATTTGCTCTCTATCACTGTTGCACTTTCATAAAAGTTTTATATCAGAACTACCTGTTACTCTCTCTTCTACCAGAGCAGTTAAAACTCTACTTTCTTTTTGAGCTACAATGTCAACAATTTGTCCATAGACTTCTAGAAAGAAAATGTTAAAGGTAAATTCAAAAATTTTCCAATTCTATCAATACCTACCAACTTATAAAATTCTAGAAAACACAAAAATATATAAGCACACACTCCATTAACCATCAGAGAGACAGTCACTATGTCATGTAGCCTCTGGAAAAATCTACTGTACAGTAGTTTTAAGAGAATGAGAGTGAAAAGGGCAAATTACTTGTGAAAAATTACTTAAAATTACAATATATCCTTAAATGCACAGTCATTTGTGAATTCTAAATAAGGGCGGGCTTTCCAATTTTGTTAACAGTTTAGTATTTGATATATAAAGTTACATTTTCCAAATGTAAAACTTTTTAAAAAATTCATTAAAAGCATAAGTCATAAATCTCTGACATCCAAAAGAAGACGCCTTTACCTCCTGGCCAAGGCTGCCAGTGCCAGCTGTCAGAAAGAAACCAGTAGCACAGAAGTAGCACCAAGATGGCATGAGCGCACTGAACCCCACAGTCAACCTCACCATTCAATACTATTCCTGGAGCATTCACTCCCACGTGCCACCTAACAATTGGCAGTAGGCAAGGTAAAATATCAACCGAAATTAAAGAATGAGTATTACTAGTACAGAGTTTTTTGGGAAAAACCAACTCTACAGGTACCAGTACCTAAGTTCTGGATTAATGATATAGCTCTACCAGTGAATAAGTGATGGCAACACTTTATCCGAAACACATACTAAGGGGATCAAACTATAAAACTACATGAAAATACTAAAAAACACAGTTACTTTGGAAATTCATTTATTCACAATTGATCTGTGCAGTCATGGTGATAAACAAATCTGAGCGTTAACACACAACCTTCACTATGCAGGGACCTTGATACACAGGGTTCAGAATCGAACTTCTTAAACAGAACGTAAAAAGCAAGGTAAGAATAAGGAATGGAGGAAGAACGAGAGAGCATGGAGGGGGAAGGCTGTGAGGAGCAGGAGGAGGAGGAGATAGGTGAGAGCTGGGCTGGAGCTCCCAGGCGATCAGCACAGTGGCAGGTGTGGCAGGCAGAGCTGTGCTGAGAGCTCGCTCCCTCCTCCCCATCTGTGGCAAGGGGCAAGGACGGAGCACCTTCTGCAGCTGACATTTTCCCAGGGAACTCTGCAGAGTCCTGCTGATACCATCATTGTTTCTCTTGCTGCTGCCCTGAGAAATAAACATAAAAGGGCTGTTAATACTGTGACTGCACCAATGGCAAGGGAAGGCAAGGAGTAGGGAAGTTCACCGTGAAGAAACAGGAATCAAACAAACATAAAAGTTTCAGAGGAAAAAGAACAGATCAGACTGAAAGGTAAAAGTTTTAACAGTTATTTTGCTAAAGATAAAATTCTGAGTAGTAAGGAACTGAAACCAGGACCTCGAAGAGAGATTTGTACACCCATGTTCATGGAGCACTATTCACAAAAGCCAAGCAGTCAAGGAACCCAAGTGTCCGTTGATGGATGAATGGATAAACAAAATGTGCTCTACTGCGCTGGCTGGTGTGGCGCAATGGATTGAGTACCAGCCAGCAAACCAAAAGGTTGCTGGTTCGATTCCAGTCAGGGCCCGTGTCTGGGTTGCAGGCCAGGTCCCCAGTTAGGGGTGTTCGAAAGGCAACCCAATAGATGTATCTCTCACACATTAATGTTTCTCTCCCTCTCTTTCTCCCTCCCTTACCCTCTCTATTAAATAAATACATACATACATACATACATACATACATACAATCTTTTAAAAAATGTGGTCTATACATACAATGGACTATTTATTCAGCCTTAAAAAGGAAGTTCTGAAACGTGCTACAACATGGCCAAACCTTGAGGACATTATGCTAACTGAAATAAATTAGTCACAAAGACAAATACTGTATGATTCCACCTCTAAGATATATCTACAGCAGTCAAATTCATAGAAACACAAAGCACACAGGGAGGTTAAATGGGGAGTTGTTTAATGGATATAGAGTTTCAGATATGTAAGATGAGAAAGTTCTGGAAATGTTTCCCAACAACATGCATATGCTTGTTTAACACTACTGAAATGTACACTTAAAGATGGCTAAGATGGTAAGTTTTATGTTATGTATTTTTCGCCACAACAAAAAAGAAATTCTGGATTAAAATTTACGGTACAAGCGAGCATGCCTAAGGAATCCAGGTTCACAAAGCATTGTATGAGTCCTGCATCCACAGCACACAGCCTCCTGCTTGGGCCTGGGATAGTGTGGAACAGCCATGACTTCTGTGGCTCCCACTCTCCATGCCTGGGCTGCCAAGCATCTTCCTTGTCCTCTCTCTGGCCCTCCTAAGGGCCAAACAGTTTAGCACAGTTCTGGAAAGCCCAGACTGCCTGGGTTCAGGTCCTGGCACTATCCACTGCCTGGTTATGTGAACTTCAGCTATAGTTACCCAACCTCAGTTTCCTTATATGTAAAACGGGCATTATATTAGTACCTCCCTCGTAGTGTTGCCAGTGATAATAATATTAACAATAATTTTAACAGTGTTATTAAGTATAATAATAATTTAATGTTATTATTAAATATAACAATAGTATATATACCCTTAGCACAATGCCTGGTCCATAGTAGGTGTTGAAAAAGAGCTTGTCTTTTATCACACACAAAAAATTTGGGTACAAGGGTAAGCGGAAAACAAAATCAAAACCTCTAAAAATTAGAGATTATTTTATCTAGATGGAGAGATTAATAAAACCAGGTCTTTAATTATCTTTTCAAGTATTAATACAAATGACTTCCATGGCTGGGGCAAAATCAGTAGGTACATAGAAATAATGTGGTCCTGACTGGCATGGCTTAGTTGGTTGGGCATCATCCCACAAAATGAAAGGTTGAAACGTCATCAGTTTGATTGCCAGTCAGGGCACATGCCTGGGTTGCAGGCTGGTCCCTGGTTTGGGTGCATGCAAGAGGCAACCAATCTATGTTTCTCTCACACATCGATGTTTCTCTCCCTCTCTTACTACCTCCCTTGCTTTCTTTCTAAAAATAAATGAATAAAACCTTTAAAAAGAAAAGAAAGAATGCAAATCTGAGCTCCAATGGGCTTCAGAAGCACAGTTCCAGGGAAGAGCTTCAGGAAAAAAATTAGATCCTGCAAAAGATGAACAAGCCAAGGGTTACCTGCACAGTTCTGCTTGTGCCCACAACCATCCTGGCTGACAGCCTGTTGACGGTGGATAACCATCAGAGACACTGTGGAGTCCATGGGGAACCACCCAGAAAAGTCACCATCCAAATTTTCACACCCCTCCTTGGCAATTAAAATGAAAATACTTATCCTCAGCACCTTATGAAGATGTTCAATTTCTAGTGCTTCCCAAGATCCACCTCAGGAGAAGTCAATTTGTCCACAGGAGGCGTAGTTTCCAAAGCTATCTACTGTGAACCTCTGAGAGATGTGGATTGAATTGAGCTTTAGGGTACCAAAGTAGTAGTTCTCAAACATCTGAAAATAAAGAGTAAAAACCCAGAATGAATATCTACAGATAAGTACAGATGGAAATATTAAATATCAGCTTCTCTTGTAAAAACACCAAATACTCTCAACAAACCTCTCGCGCTTTTTCTTTTCAGTATTTTTATCAAAACTGATCCTGGAGAGAAGGAGTGGGAGTAGAAATGGGAAAAGAAGAGCAGCTCTTCTCTCAAATTAATCTTAAAGCCTCCTCCAACAAAATGCACTAGAGAAAGAGGTCTGAAAAGTTAATTCCAAAATATCTATTGAGCACATATGACCAAGAACTTGTTACAAACATACCTTAACTCATGGGGCCTAACAAAACTGGTACTATGACTTTCAGTTATGTAGGATCCTAGTTTTGTTACAGTCAGGATAAAATTTGATATAATACATTCCTCTATCTAGTCAACAACATTTATTAGAAGCACTGACTAAAATAAATAGAAGATTCCTGACTTACAAAATGTTCTGACAACCCAGTGAAGAATACAGAACACTTACACACAAAAAACAACCAGAGCAACATTCCTATTGGATGATATAACAAGTACAAAGTATTATATTTATTGAAACCCCTTCATCAGATTTGGATTCAAGCCAGAATCCTAAAGTAGATGCTCTTTACTACAATTCTTCACTGTAAAAACTTTATGGTGTTGCCCTGGCCGGGTAGCTCAGTTGGTTAGAGTGTTGTTCCAACATGCTAAGCTTGCAGTTTTGATCCTCATCAGGGTGAAAGAGGGTGCCAGCAAGGGGTCCCCAAAGTCCCCACAGCCCATTGCCAGAGATTACATATATCTGGCAATCAGATGGTTAGCTAATAGCTGTGCTACCATCCCAGGGCAAAGGTGTGTGCATGATTTTCAAAGTGTATGGTGACTCCTAAGTAGGTGGGAGAGCTCACAGCATCTGCACTAGAGGCAGGGAGGCGGAGGCCCCTGTACCACTGAGTCACATTTGCCCTGACTAAGGATAGCAGCAAAAGGAGGTAGAAAAATATGGGAAAACTGGCAAATGTAGCTTATTATGGGAGGAGTAGGAGAGGAGGTCACATAGGAAGCTCTAGGTCAGGGTTTAAACTAAGGGTGGGCAAAGAGGAAGCTGGTCTGCTACAGGAGAGCTACGATATAGCAACTAGGCAGAGAGAAAGAGAGGCTGTTCCACCACGAAGGCAGTGAGGGAGATTCAGCCATGCTGACGATAGCGAGAAAGGTGCCGTGTGAGCTGTAGGAGCTAGTCGGCCATAAGAGGAACGATGTAGCAGCCGTATGACACAGAGCCATGAGCAAGAAGCTATGCAGTCTGTAGTCAGGATTTGGCCATGCAGCCTGGGCTAGTAAGAAAACAAGCATGCTGCTTCTTTGTGCCAAGTAGCCTGGGCTAGTAAGAAAGAACAGCATGCTGTTACTCTGATTGTGCCCGTTCTAGCTGATTGCAAAGTCACCAGGGACTCTGCCCTGTAAGACACTGACCTGCTGCTTTGCAGTCCTGGACTCTATCTGTACTCTTGGAACTCAGGACATATGAAGAGGCCACTCTCTTGGGACTTGTGCCTTTCCTGGACTCCACCATGATCCAGCGCAACATGACACATGCTTTCCTGGACTATAATAGGGAGGCTGGGGACAATGTACCCCAGAAAGAGATAGCTGCAGCAAGACTGTTTGCGCAGCCAGCTTAAGCACAGATCAAGAGATGGGGAACTTCTGAGGTCTTTGGCTTATAGCCTTTTGGGAAGCACGGTAAGTGCTGGGTCTCATGGGAGAGCAGGGGTCTGAGCTGAAGTGCTCCTAGCCCCCACAAGGTTGGAATATTTTAAGTAAAAACATGTTTCTTCCAATACTAATTGCTGGGTCATACACCAAGGCACCATGTGAACAGGCCCCTGTTTGCTTGGTTACATCGCACATACGAGAATCAACCAATGAATGCCTAAATATGTGGAACAACAAATCAATGTTTCTCTCACAAATTAATAAGTTAAAAAATTATAATAAAATTGTAATAAATAAATAACTTTCAAGTGCATCAGAGGGAGAGATAAGCCAAACTCTGAGACCTGCTCTTGTGATGAGCATATTTATAAGGCAGAGTCCAAAATGACATCAGAACTCATCCCAGGAAAATTAAGCCACACTGCTTAGATAAGGCGTACCGAAGAAGAAAAGGCTCACCTTCTTCTGGAAGGATGCAAGAGTTGCTCTTTCTCAAAATGTCAACAAGAACCCAAGAAAGCCTTTCAATACACATACCAACAATGTTTGAGTATAACCTCAGGGTAGGACCTTTGCACATTAGCACGTGACTGTGTCTTCACTTAATTTTATACAACCTCCACAGCCATGAGCGTCAGCCACTGTCATGTTTCCCCTTCCTGCAATTAATGGTCTAGCAAAATGCCTGGGGTTCATTAAAGACTAACTTTATAAAAGTCCCATAAATATTGATTCTTCAACATGGCATCAACTTGACCCTAAAGATCTATATAAAGGTTGTGTGTACTGCACTGTCTTGTCTTTCAGAAAGGTGATTAGCTCTTGCCTACATTGATTTACACAATTAACTTCTCTTCCTGGCTTTGGTAGTCTGTTCAAACCCTATCCACCCTTTTGTGTAAAGAAATACAGCCTGAAAAGGTTATCTGTTAATCCCTTTGCTGAACATTAATTTGAAGTGTAAAGATATTTACAACTTGGCAAACCAAAGCCTTATAGGTACAAGGCAGATGTGACCAAAGAAGCAATAAAAGATGAAACAAAACAATACTATAAGGGAACTCCTAATACTTTCAACAAAATACTTTTTAAAGATTAGCAGCCGTGTTTCCATGTGATGGAGACACGGTAGCTAGAGCTGGAAAGTGACCTACCTCTGACTTCACTTTGCAAGTACAGTACAAGGCTTAGCAAAGAGGTGGGGGGAGGGCAGCAGAAAGGCAGACAGGGGCTTGATGGGCCATGCTAAGTATACCAGGTTAGATGTTAGATGTTTAGGGTGTTCCCAAAAAACAACAGTGACAAAGACTAAGGCTAGAGACATGAGACACTAAGTCTGATTAAGAGGGACTGAGCGTCAAGTTCAGAAGTTAGGCTTCATTCTAGATGAGGAGCCAAAGAAGGCTTCTGGGTAGATTGGGGCCTAAGATGAAAACCCTATTGTAGGACATTAATCTTGGTGTGGGGGCCGAGGGAACAGCAGAAAGAAAAAAAAAAAAAAAAAAAGGAAGACCAGAGTAGCAGTTTAGTGGAGAGAGAGAGATATTGAGTGTCTGTTGACTAAAGTACTAGTAATGGGCCTGAAAAGATTAGAACAGATGTGAAATATTATGAATGAAGCACAAAAAAGATTCTGTGACTTTCTAGATGAGGAGAAGGAGATGAGAAAAATTATAAATGACACCATGAGCATAAAGAAATACCCAAACCTATAAGTATTTTTATGAGTTTATTTGAGCCAAACTGACGACAACTGCTCGGAAGCAAAATCACAACGGATTAAGAAAATGCTCTGAAGAATGGCAGTTTTGCACCTTATTTTATACATGAGAATCAAAGGAGAAGATGTAAGGGGGTTGCATGAAATCCACTGGTGATAGATTAAGGAGGCAGGAGAAAGCAAAGCTGGAGAAATCTCTGGGATTGGATAAAAAGTAAAACAAATGGACAAATACTTTTTTTTTACTAGTGAATACAGGATAGTTAAACAGTGAACTTGATAACAACAATGGAGAGGGGTTCTGCAGTCTCCTGCTTTAGTGGAAGATTGTGTCCTGAGGGGTCTGGAATAAGGAAATTACCCTGATATTTCAAAGGTATGTTATTTTAGATGTAAAAAGACAGTAGATAGGCTCAGTTAATGTGAAGACTGACCTTTGTAAACTACCTGCCATAACTCGTTTTTAGTTAGGAACTTTTAATTTCAGACCATCTTATATGGTTATTTTAGGTATCTGAGTTTGTAAAACCGCCATGTGGCCCCCACTGAGCTTCTCAAGGTTTAGTATGTGGCCCTTTTTTCATCCACAACATAGTAAATGGGGTATGAGAGTATACCATTAATGGCAATTGAACATTTCTGAGAGGAACCTGTTTTATGGGGAAAAAGGAAACAAATTCAGGTATGTTTACACACTCATGGCTATATCTTCAGGTGTGTTTGACCCCAAGCCCTTCTCCAACCAAGGGTTTTCTTGGTACACTGAGAATATACATTAAAGACATGAAATCTGTAGCACAGTTAAGTAGAAGTCTATTACCATAAAAAGTTTTACAGGCCCTGACTGGTGTGACTCACTTGGTTAAGTTTTGTCTCGCAAACCGAGAGGTAACCGGTTCAATTCCCAGTCAGGGCATATGCCTGGGTTGTGGGCCAGGTTCCCGGACTGGGGGGGTGTGTGAGAGGCAACTGATCAATGTTTCTCTCACACATTCCCTTCCCCTCTCTCTAAAAATAAATAAATAAAATCTTTTTAAAAAGGAAGCTCTACAGAATCCATTTTTTAAAAATAGTAGGTTCTTTATATATTAGGAAAATGAACGCTTTGTGTCATAAATTGCAAATATATTTCCCCCCTAGTATGTCATTTGTCTTTTGACTTTGCTTACGGTGGTTTTTACCATGGCAACTTAAAATTTTATAAACTCAAATGTATCATGGTGGTGAAGCGGCATCAGATGTTAGACCACTGGAGTAAGACCAGACTTCAGTTCAACAATCTCAGTACTTGAGCTCTGGCTAGGAGAGAATTCACAGCCAAGACTCAAAATATAAGAGAAAGTTTACTTAGAAAGTCAAAGAGGTAGAAGAAGTGAGCTGTAGAAGAAATGGGCTCAGGAAACAAGTTACAGAGGCAAAAGAAGGGTTTTTGAAGTTTAGGAGAAAAGAGAGAGGCAGGGAAACAGCACCTGGAGGAAAGAGGCGGGGATGGACACACGTGTGCTCCCTAGAGAGAGCCGCAACTGGGTCCTAGATTCTTGAAGTTATTT